CCATTAGTGTTGGATGTTATGTGGTTAGAAAGAGTAACACACCATCCCCTACTAAACCATGGTGGTGGCAGCATTATGCTGCAGGGATTGTTTTTCTTAAACTAGGAGAGGGAAGCTGCTTGGAATATGAATGGAGCTAAATGCAGAGTGATCCTGATTATATTTCATTTCAATTTATTTCAATAGAACCCAGAGACAAAAGTTGTCATCTCAATGCTATTTAAAACAGACATAAAATAAAACAATATACATTTAATTCAATCCAAGCATATAGACAGAGTAAGATCCTGTTATATGCATTTCAAATCAACTCTGGTCTAAACACGGTACTTCAAATAACACTAATTAAAAGCCAAGCTGGTTTAGAAATAGAGGAAAAGCAAAAAGAGGGCTGAAAGCACTAGGTCTGCCAAAACTTTTCTATTTTTTTTTTTTTTGAAGAAAGAAAAAAAAAAAAAAAACATGTGTGTTTTGTTTGTTTTTTTGCCTAAACTCTACTGTACTACTCTGTTATCTGTCTATAAAATAAAATCTCAATCCACTGCATTTAAGCAGGGGGTTGTAAAATATGTCAAAGGGTAATAAATACATTAACAAGTTACTTTTCTAGGTCTTTCAGGCTGCCTCTGGTTATTAAACACATTTTAAGTCTGGTTTTAGAAAACAAAAATCATATTAGACGTTATATCAAATAGTACTCTCCTTGGTATAGTAAGTCTGACAGTAGATTAAAGGATTTCTTAATATCTACAGTAAAAGAAAAATCAGAAATACGTTCAGCCTACTAACGTATGCATCGGTGCTTCCAGCACTATTGCATTAGTATATTAATGAGCAGGTAGGGTGTGGCAAGGCAATGAATGGATCAAAATAGAAACGTATTGCTTTGAATACTACAGACTGAGGTCGACCATCGGAATATTAGGCTCTCAAAAAACAATGACGCCATTTCTCATTACAACCTATCGCCTCTCTTTATCCACAGGAGCACTGAGGGACAACTGTAAAACACTCATTAACAGCCCAGTCAGAAATGCTCTGCAAACAGAAATAATTACACATGTGTGCATAGTTAACGCACATCCCTGGGAGAGATTTAGAAACAATCTCATAAGCAGTTAATGGTTATAAAGAGCTTGCATAAACTCAGAAGATGGACCACTCAGATACCACGTGCAACAAACCTCTAAGGAGTGGGGTGGGGGGGGGATAAAATCAAGAAAAGAAAGCCCATATTTTACAGAAATGTCTCAGATGCTTTTAGTCAAATACGTTTCTGATACCTACACATTTTTTTGGTAGATATTGTTGCATTTTGTTAGTCATGTCTGCTGTTAAACCCTCAGCAAGCAGCGGTAGCTCACCTTCGCTACCTAACATTAAAAGTTTCATGATAAGGCTGAAAGGAAGAAAAACCCAGAATTCTATATGAAAATAAATGTTTTAATAAAGGATTAAAAGAAACTGATTGCAAAAGAAAGAAATAAGCAGAAAAGCAACATGGAGATATTAGCAGACGGTTGGATAAAGCTTACCTTGGAGTATTGTCTACGAAGACTGAAGCGCTGCACCATCCTCCCTGACTGACAGACCCAAAGCTGGAATCCCTGTCCTACTCCCCTCTACTGATACCCCTCCAAAGTACACACTGCCTCCTGCAACACACTCCCCATTCACACACACGTGCTACAAGCACAGATGCTACCATCTTCTCTAAAGAGCCATGGGTCCACACCGCACCTCCTCACTATGCAAACACAAAATGAGCAGAGGAGAGAAAAAAAAAAAAAGGATGAAGGAGCTAGAGATAAATTGTTTACTGGGTTTCCTCCCTACTTGTAATAATGGTGAAGTGAGATGTGTCACACTCGCCCACTCACACAGACACTCTCACATGGCCACCAATTTACAAATGATTTTCAGTAAACAAGGATGAAAATGTGATCTTACACTCACACATGCGCACACTCGTCTCAACACAGGCTGAACTAGACCCTCACACAGCTACAGCTCAGCTCTCACTCATCTAGGACGAGGTAAGGTGGCCTCCTGCTTCCTGTCAATGTGCTACAGGGTGGGGTAGAGAGAAGGATGAGGTGGAGGAGGTGCCGGTAGAGGGAATGAAAGGGAGGAGGGGGGAGATGGGAGAGGAGGAGGGACCAGCTGACTGCTTGTAATAGCTCTCTCCAGGGATTGAGGGAGGGAGCGGCAGGGACGGTGAAGGGAAAAGAGTGAGGTCAAAGGAAGCACAGCAGGGGAAACAAATAAAAGGAAGGAAAGAAAGAAGAAAAGACAGAAAGAAACGGATCAATGGCTGAATATTCCTGATAAACAAATACAATTCTTGAACCTCCAACCTTGCTGCCAACAGCCGGATGTCACATTTCCAAGGTCAACTACGCTGTTACTATGGAAACAATAAGTAGGGTATGCATCATGTTGCTAGTTTAAGGGTAGACACAGCGACAGCTTGTGGTTACCCTGGTGACACCGATTTGTTGCTATGCTAAGGCAGGGCTGTGATATTAGCTGGAAATGAGGGTGAGTTCTGATCACCCCTAACCAACCGCTGAAGCTCATGCCCGCTCACCTTTGAAGTGAGGTCACTCACACAGGACAAGCATAGCACATACAGTGAAGCTGTTAGTGAAAGCACATCTATAAACCTGCATTAAAAGAAAATCATTTTATTTTAATACAGTTCAATAATTTTATTAAAGGCAGCATGAGCTCTTATTGCAAATACCGGCTCCACATAAGCCAAATGTGTGACTCTACAGGGCTGGTTAGTTGAGATGACAGAGACCTCTAGTGGCAAACAGCACAAACTAAAATAGTCTTGAATACAAGTAAAAAGTAAAAACTAAAGCAAAGTAAATCAAATTCTTTTTAAAAAATATGTTAGAAAGTCCGGCAAAAACAATGCAAAATTAAGATTCTAAGAATATTACAAACAAATTATACCAGTATAGTATCTACACAATCATGGAAAGACAGTTTTACAGCAGAAACTACTCTCAACAAGGAGATAGAATGCTATATCTAAGAATGTTATATCTAAGAATGTTAAAGGAAAACTGAGTGGAAGAAAATAATAATAATGAAAAAGTATAAGAAACAGGCCTAACCACAAGACCAAGAGTTTAGTGGTTAGTCATGAATGTATTCAGGATAAGCAAAGACTGAAACTGTTCCATTCCTTGTCTTAAGCTACAATATTAATTCAAGTGTGTTAATTGGACAAAGGGAAAAAAGGAAAGCCCTGCCGCTGAGTGGTCCTATTATTAGAGGGAATTTTGGACATCATTTAGAAATCAAGGTCCTAGAGACTGCAGATTGTAAATTTAGGTCAGTGGAGGTGTCTGTCGTCAAGCTAAAGAATAAACTAAAACAAAAAAACACCATATAAATAGTTAAATCCACCTGGGGTGAAACTGACTCTTCGTCTTAATAGGTTGCAAGATTCATATTAAACCCTAAACAAATAGATACAGGTTTTGAATGCAAACTTTGTATTACCTTATCTGCTACATGCAACATGATATAGAAGAGATTGGAAGTGTACAGGCTTCTGGATGACAGGGTACGGAATACAGAAGGTATTATATTTTCAGCCATTAGCGGTCTTGTCTATAAATGAAAACAGTGATTATTAGTAGACTCTGTGGTGACAGGATCGGATCTGCATTGCTGCATGACCAGTCGTGTCCAACAAAACAGGTGCAGCAGGCACTCTCCCCCACTCCATCATCTGTAAACATCACCTCAGCGTTATGGCAGGAATCATTCAGACACTTGCTCGGTTGAATTTGTGCCTTCATGCACACCAGATTGTCACATCTGGGTATCGGCACACAACCGAATTTGTCGCAATGCAAGTATCGATAAGCTTCAGAGTGTTTCAGCTTTTTCTGTTGTTCACATCTATCGTCATGGACTCATTGAAGTATAACAATATTCGGCTGGTATTGTAGCCGGATAAGGAGATGATAAGCCAACTACTTTTTACGAGAAATAAAGGAAAATGTACCTATTTTAGTGCCATTGCTATTTAATCTAAATAAAGGCTGTCCTTATTCCAGCAGAAACATGCAGCAGAAGAATCATTGGCGCCTAATTTGACTGGAAATGTTTGTGGAAGTTGTCTATAAAGCAGGGTAAGACACAGAGCGATTTAATTTAGATCCCAGAACAAACTTAATAAGCATAGTTATAAATATTGTTGCAACTTACAAAGCTATATATAGCTACAGAACAGCTCTGATTTAGTTAATTAGAGGAAAAACAGAATGAGCACCGGATCAACATATACCGTATGAATGTCACATTGTGGATAATACGGATTTAGTGTAGCAGTTTAAGTCCGAGTTAAAACCATAATAATTTATTATAATTATTAAGAACATAAACAAATTATTAATAATGATATGTAGGCTAGTTATGGGTCCTCGATGTCTCTGTTCTGATCAGCTTTCTGTAAGCATGCGCAGCTTTGGTTCTCTGGTTCACAAAAACCCACCTTTAATAAATCTGCGTGGGCCCTTGCATAACAACGTTTCAGCTCTTGGATTGATGACAATTTCCTCTCAGATTTTTGTACTAGTCTTTTTTAAGGCTTTAGTCCCATATACCAGTTGGGCTCTTTAGCAGTCAAAGGAAATCTAAGGGTAAGTAGCCTACAGCAGACCTTCACAGCATCATACTGCAGTGGTTCAAACACTTAACTAAGAATTCACAGATGATAGGGTGGAATATTAAAGGCTACCATGGATTTTTCTAATTGGCTATGAAACAAAGAAACAGTGGATATAACTTCTTGTTTTTGATTCTGTAATTAAGTAGAACATTTTCTTTGTATAAAATTGCAGAAATGTTCTCGTACATCAGCAGGAAGGTGAACTTCAGCATTTGATCGACAGCTGACAAACAAACAAGCTTGGCAGCAGAAAAAGGAAAGAAAGGACACATTGAGGTGATGATTAATGGTTGCTGTCACTTACTCTGTCTGTCTCCTCTGTGGACTGGTACCCAGACGATAGCACAACATCCCCGACGGTTTGTGCAGGAGCAGGGCTGCTGGGCGTGGTGTCAGTGGTGGACGAGGAGCGTGGCCGGCTAATGTGCTGCTGAGGGTCATGGGTGTTGCGCCGCTGAGGAGGCTGAGGGCTGCTTCTCAGAAGGGGGTCCCGATCTCCGCTCCCAGACCCGGACCCCTTGCTGCGCCGGCTCTGCAGGCTGGTCCCACGCCTTATCATGCCTGCAGCGGCTGAGCCCTGTCCAGCTGCAGAAGAAATCACAGGAGCAGACAGACGATCAGACTCAGAGGTGCTGGACCCCAAACTGTCCTGAGGAGCAGGAGGGGAGGTGCCGCCTGCTGATAACACCGAGGAGGATGAAGAGGAGGAGGATGATGGAATGGTGGAGCGAGAGAGGGAGAGGCGTTTGCGCTGGTGTTGGAATAGTTGTTTCAAGCCCTGACCAAGAACCCCCATGCTCTCCTTGGCATTTTGGCTCATCTTATTCAAAGAAGGATGTAAAGACTGAGATGAGGCCCTCTTCAACCCTGGGCCTTTTGAACGCTCTGCCCCTCCACTAGCTGCAGGATTTGAACTGGGGCCCATCTTTTCTGGGTCGCCTTGACCGTTTTCCTCCTGCAGCATATAGTCCTGGAATAAATAAACAGCAGGAATATATGGTCTTTTGCCTCACTCCCTATCTGGAAGGCATGCAGATGGACAGGGACAGGGAAAGAATAGAAAATGGCAGGGCAGTAGAATCAGAGATGGAACTGTGATGGAGGATGGGATCAGCTCAGACTCCTTCAGAGGGATGGATCCAAATTAGGAGCATGCATCTTTGACTCAGGAACGCACAGCCTTGATGGTCTAACACACAAAAAGGAGAAAGTTAATGAGACGCTCGAATCCTTGTTTGATTTTTCTTTTCCCAACTTGAGACCAACTTTAAGCAAATAACCTTAACATTTCAACTATAAAAGAGGGGCCACTTCTTTTACAGATATAAAATAATTTAAGAAAACCTGGATTCAAATAGGAAACTGGAACAAACACATAGAGCATAATGTAAAGTTAAGTATATTAAAAAAAGATATTTAAAAAGTGAAAAGCAATTAATTTCAAGACTAATCTGCAAGGTTTAGGGTCAGAGCTGAAATATGTCCCTCTTTTCTGCAAAAAACAAACAAAAAAAAAACAATAAAAATGCTGCTTTTCTAAATATCTGACCCTCTTTTACGACTATTAACCCCAAACCTGGATGCAGAGAAAGTCTGAAAGGGGGTATAGAGGAGAAGAAGTCAAAAAGGGATGAGAATGTTACAAAAACAAACAGAAAAACCCACCTACCATCAGCCCAGCTGTCATCCTTTTATACCTCACTTTGCGTGCCTGAGAGGGATAGAATAAAGAAAGAACATAAGAAAGACATAACAGAACTGTATTCAACAACATTTACATTTTTTTTACAGGAACAACTTCTCAAGATATCTGTGTTTATACATATTAGAATACTACGGCTTGTATGTTTTATTTAGTCTCAGACCAACTTCATAAAAAGCAGAAGGAAAAAGTAGAACATTTGTGCTGAGGAGTCCTTCTCAGGCGAATTTAGAAAAAGGACCATGAAAAGAAGAATAGACGACTGCTGACCATCCATTCAGTATTAGTCAAAGTAGTGATTCCAGATCACCAATTTGCATAAAGTGGCTCCTTTTTCTGTTTCATTATGATAATTTTCAAGCAAATTCCACCTAATTTTAGTCCCACTCTAGAGCAGCGTTTGCTCTAGAAAAAAAAAGTATTGATGATTTTCCAAAAGTGGAACATACAATAACTTATTATAAAATAAAAACTATTCCACTTCTTTGAATCTGAGCATTTAATTCTTATGCATTTTCCATCTCAAATAAAAAATTGATTAATGAAGAATACATTAGTATCTGAAAAATATATATGAAATCTTCTTACTTTTTTAAAACCTTTCATAAAAATATACAGTAATTACAACCATCACTAACCCTGATACTGAGGTTAACTAAAAAACAAAACAAAAAATGATCCTTTCATGACTTTCAATGTGCCCTGCCTTATAAAAGTTGCGTCCTTATTCGAGTTTCCATGGCTAAATTTAAATGCATTTCTCATTTCCCCTTCTTTATGAGCCGCCTCCATAACAAAAGTGAATTATATTGATTTTCCTTTGCACCAGCATCCATAATGAACAAACATTCATGAAGGATAATATTGTAAACACTATCTCGGTCACAGATCAGGGCATCAATGTGTCTCCCAATGACTGGGAGAGTGACAGTGGAGTGTAATTTAATAAGGATTCAATGCTCTGCTGTTGACTCAGATTTGATGAGTCAAGGGGTAAAACCCCAGTTAATCCTGTCCCATAGCTGAAGCTAAACCTGATGTCCTGTCCTGACAGCAGCACCTAACACTACCTCTGAGTCTGTAAATCCCCTCCCTCATCCGCTGCTGATCCCTCTGTTGGATTGGATGCTTTCTTGATTGCCCATGCTTCTGTATACCATCTAAATCCTCTTATAGGGGCTTTTAGATGACAACAGTTTCATTGTCAGACTTGGTGCTCATGTAGAAAAACCTTATTCAGTTTAAGAAAGCCCTGGTGATCCATCTTAACGAACTGGTGATGAAACTAGAAAAACAGCAGATGGGTCTTACATGACAAGTGTGCTTCTCTAAACTAATGAGTCTTTCTTAAGGAATTCCTACAGCCTACCAGGAAGTGACTAATGAAGGCACAGCTGACAACGTCCAATTAACACTTGCTCTGCATCTGAATCTGGATTTAATGTTCAAAAGCACAAGAACACTTGAATAAAACACTTTCAAATAAAGTGAGAGATGCTTTGCAGTCACTTAACGTCAGCACGTCTCTCAGAAATATCACAATCCTGTCGACAGTAAATAACAACTGAACAAATGCCAATCTGGACATGCATCGTCCTCAGTTAACACTCATACAAACACGTCACTGTCCATAACTCAACGTCTCCTTCCATAGTGCTGACAGTTGCACAGCGGTCATCATCTCTGGCTGGTCAAAGGAGAAAATAAACTCAATGTTTGTAGCTCTAGAAGAGCAGACAGCACAGTTTCACTCAGTCCTCAAAACACCACACACAGCCCCCTACTATAATGATAAATACATTAAGTATGGGTACAAAATAATAAATAAATAAATATGCGCCATTCTACCGAATTGGTGCAAATTCCTGCCCTCCCCCCCCCCAAAAAAAAAATGTAAATACAATTTTTAAAAGACTTCCAAGTGTGCAAATTTTCAGTTAAAGCCCAATACAAGATTTGACAAAATAAAAAAGTATAATTAGAACAAAATCTTCAGTTACTCTAGAAACAGTTTAAAAGCTTCATTTCTGGATTGTCTTTTTTTTTATATTTCAATTTAAAAACCTGCTGACTAACTGCAACAATAAAGGAACAAAATTCACTCCATATCAACCCCCAAAACATCAGCAGCACATTTGTGGAGTCGGTTAGACCAGGGATGGGCGGATTTTATATATGTCTCTACTTCAGCACCTGAATAAAATAATGACTTGATTACCAGGCCTTTGAAGAACCTGCATACATGAGGTCTGTTCATTTTTGGCAGCTGCGTCCACCAAAGCAGTGTTTCCCAACCTTTTTTGACTTGTGTACCCCTATGGGCAATTATTTCTTACCATAAGTTCCCCTCCCAGTCAAAAGTATTGTTGATTGTCCAAGAGTGGAACATACAGCAACTGAAATAAAGACTATTTTACTTAATCTTTTAATTTCAGCATTTAATTTTTAAATTTTTTGCTCTCCATCTCAAATAATAAAAGAAAACATAAAAATGTTGCCTAAAAGTTGCTAAGGAATCGTAAAAAATACAAAATAAAATCCTATTATAAACCTGTATTTATAAAACTGGACGTCCTTTCAGTAGCTCCCTTATGATCACATTTAAACTTGATGAAAAACAGCAGATACACCAGAACAGCAGAATTAAAATATATAAGAAAAAGTTACTTTTTGGTTGATATAAGTTGTTTAATTTTTCTGTTGGGTCCTCAGAAAAGAAAAAAAGATCAGAGCACTATTTTATTTAAGTACCTTAGAAATTAAATATTTTAAAGTACTGGTCTACCTGGACTGGGTCCTTCGAAGGCCGTGAAAATAAGGAAGCCAGAAGAGTTTGGATTAGGGCTGGGTACTTTTGCCAAATTCCTGAATCTATTTGATTATGATTCATACAGTTCTAAATCGATTAATTTCGATTTGATCTGTTTTCACAATAATGAAAGTGGTTCAACTGTGTTTCAAAATACTCATGTATTTTATTTTTTCCTGTCAAATTAAACACCAAGTGCAAACTTGTAAATCAAATAGTTTAAACTTGAGATGTGAACAAAACTGTCTCAAAACTGCAAACGCATTGTGAGAAGTGAAAAAGTGAAGCCTCACTCGTGCGAGCAGCCGTGACACAGCAGATGCATGAGCTGCATTATCTTCACTGCACAAACCATATGTGCAGCATTGTCTGTAACAACTACAGGGTGTTTTCTGGTCAGCCCCCATTTGTTAATGTTTTCAGTCAACCTATTGGCTATATTTGCAGCTGTCTGGCTTTGAGTAATCTTGATTGCATCTTTCCTGCTCATTCGAATGTGAACGTCACGCGCGTCACTATAAAACTAATCGATCTCATTCCCTAGACATCGATTTTGCAAAAATTCCATCCAAAACCAAAAAAAAAATTTTTTTTTTACCCAGTCCTAGATTGGATATAAAAAACAAGTCCAGTCTTCTAGGACTGTCGCTGCCCGTCACTCAGTGTACACCTATCAACACCTAGCAACCGTGAAAGTTGACTCACTAACGTTTGTCGGTTGCTACTAACAAATATTTTGCAAATCGATTAATCTGTCAATTATTTTTTTGATTAATTGAATATTAATATGGGAAAAAAAGTCTTTAAAGAAGACTTTTTACAAAAATTAAACCTGCTAAAACTCAAAATTTTCCTGGATAGAACGTATTGACAGACAAAAATGTTTTTTTTTTTTTTTATCTTAACTACAAAATGTCTATATATTTCTTTACAATCTTGGTATAGTTGCTGATCTAAAAGGGCTGCACTGTCAGCTAAAGGCATGATTTAGAGTATCTATACTCCAGTTAACAATTAATTGATTACTTAATTAGTTGACTAATTAAGTTTTGAATTTCAAAAATCGATTAATCACGATAATCCAATTAACTTTTTTCAGCCCTAAATTTAATCTCAACAGGTTGTATTTACTGCAGCAAAATGGAGGTCGGTCTTATCAAATACACATCTCTTGTTTAGGGGTAAAAACACCAGAAGAGAAACAACGGACTGGGGATAAACAAACTGACATAGAGGTCAGTGAGGCTTGTTTTCTGCAACCCTCTACAAACATATGCTGTTGGTATCTGCTGAATATACAGCTACTAAGCTGAAAAAAATGGATACAGCCTAAACAAGCAGGAGCAGTGTTTCCAGAAGAGTCTGCAAGCTGGCGTGGAATAGGCCCGTCTTTGTTTCCTGTGAGCCCCACACAGACCCATCGCTGCCCTGTGTCCTGCGCCTCTTTCACTGACAGATACACATCAATAAAAGCAGAATGAGGCCAGAGAGTTCGGTCAGCTGTTTGTGTTTTAGTGCAGGCACCAGTATGTGTTTGTGAGTGAAGCCCAGAAAAGACAGGAGCATCCACAAAAAACCCCTGACATAATAGCATGGTGTTTGTATGTACCCATTTATGTGTGTCCATGCGTGGCATCTATAACCAGTGGAAACTGGAGTGTATCTCGTTCAGCAGCTGCAGAACAACAGCAGCCAGGAAACAGGAAGAATCGTTATTGTATTAACGTGTGTGTATTTGGGTCTCAGAGGCAGATAATGGTACACTTGTGCCAGCTGTGACAGTGAGGGAGAGGACTTCAGCATACTGCACAGAGTCTGATAAGAGACACAGCTCTTTGTATAAAATGGTGATGAGACAGGGAGACAGAAGCGTTACAAAGGGAGTGAAAGAGGCCAGATGGATCAAAGGGATCCTTCGTTTCACCTGGATGTATCGGGTTCAACCCAGCCACCCAGCGCAGGGTGTGTCTTTAAGGAGGAGTGCCCAAGGCAGTTTGCTGAAATGGTAGGCACATTGTCTAAGAAAACCTACAGGGAGTTTGATGATGCAAACAGTGTGCTCAACTTTCAAGGAACAGAATAAATGAGATAATAAGCAACCATCTGGTTCAACAAGTGCTGATGGGAAATAAAGTTATAAAGCAGGCATCCGCATGTTCCACCCAGCCATTTAGAGACGCTATAACTGCCAAGTAGTCTG